TTGCAGGGGTTGGCTCCTAACTACGGGTTGTACTAAGTCAGACATTTATAACCCGGAGACTGCTTGTATGTGCCTTAGTGGGAGCTGACTGCCCTTGAAGAAACCCAGAACTCTGCTAAACTATCTTAGTGGGGAAAAGGAGGAAGGGCTGTTCTCTGACACCAGTAAAGTGTAGAACAGTTGATCAGGAGATGGTCACCCACCCTAAACAGTAGAAATGAATAATGTCCATTGCCTGCAGGGGAATTCCACTTTCCTTACCCCATTATGGATTGAATTCTGTTCCCCAAAAATATGCCTTGTAAATCCTAAGTCCTATACCTGTGGTTATAATCCCCTTTGGGAATGAGTTTTCTTTGTTATGTTAATGAGGCAGTATTTGTGTGGGGTGTGTCTTACGTCAATCTCCTCTAAGATATAAAGGAGCAGATTAAGAAATTAAGAGATGAAGGAAGACAGATGCCATGTCATATGAAGATCACCGAGGAGCTAAGAGACAACGCCCTTCCTTCTCCCAGAGTGGACACAGAGAGATATCCTTCCCCTACAGCAGGTGCCCTGAATTCAAACTTCTAGCCTCCTAAACTGAGAGAATCAATCTGTTTGTTAAAGCCACCCACTTGTGGTATTTCTGCTGTAGCCGCACTAGGTAACTAAGGCACCCCCTTTTACCTTTTACAACTCCTTTCCCCTGTTCTCTGTACATGCTATTTGGCATATAGACATGGCTGTTGTTAGTATTAACCCCGCGAGAGAGGGACTTAGGCGTTCTCCTCCCAAGATGCAAAGTGGGGTGTGCTTGAATGTGATCTAACATCAACCTGGGATGGAAGCCTAACTGCGGGGAAGCTAGGCTGATAATAACGTGCTGTTCTACTCATCCCTGTCCTGTTTATTCTGTGAGTAACAAATGCCTGTTAACCTTGCCATTAGAACAGTATCTGGTCTGTGCTCTGCTCCAAACGGTCTTCACTAGGAACTTGAGGATACAGCACATTGCAGGGACACAACCCTGTCAGCATCTCAGAGGTCCCTAAGTTCATTCCAAAGAGGCACAAGGCCAAAGTTTTGCTCCTCACAGATGAGTCACCTGCCACTCAGGTAGCAGCTATCTAGGCCGCAGGCCTCCTCTCACCAGGTCCACTAGGAGGAGTCTCACTGGCATGTGTCTTCTGGTGGCAGGTGAGGTTCCCGAGGCGCCGGAAGGTCTTGCCACATGCCTTGCACTCGTAGGGCTTCTCCCCGGTGTGGATCCTGCGGTGAGCGGTCAGCGTGGGCTGGTGTCGGAAGGCCTTCCCACAGTGCCCACAGACGTAGGGCTTCTCCCCGGTGTGGATCCTGCGGTGAGCGGTCAGCGTGGGCTGGTGTCGGAAGGCCTTCCCACAGTGCCCACAGAGGTAGGGTTTCTCCCCTGTGTGGATGCGGCTGTGCTGGACAAGGGTTGACTTGCGGATAAACGCCTTCCCGCACACGCTGCACTTGAAAGGCCTCTCATCGCTGTGGATAGGCTGGTGCTGGAACAGGAACGAGACCTTCCGGAAGCTTCTCCCACACTTGTTGCAGCTGTAGGGCTTCTCGCCTGTGTGGATCCGCAAGTGGATGGACAGATGCGCCTTCTGGCTGAAGGTCTTCTTGCACTCACTGCACTCAAAGGGCTTCTCCCCAGTGTGCGTCCGCTGGTGGACAGTGAGGTAGCCCTTCTGGCTGTAGGACTTCCCGCAGGCAGTGCACTGGAACGGCTTCTCGCCTGTGTGGCTGCGCTGGTGCACCACCAGCTGGATGTTCTGGTTGAAGGCCTTGCCGCAGTCGGAGCACTTGAAGGGCCGCTCGCCGGTGTGGATGCGCTCGTGCAGGATGAGGGCAGAGGACTTGGTGAAGAACTTGCCGCACTCGCGGCACTGGTAAGCCTTCTCGCCTGTGTGCGTCTTCTGGTGCTCCACCAGTGTCATGCTCTGCGTGAAGGCCTTGCCACACTCGTAGCACCTGAAGGGCCGCTCGCCCGTGTGGATACGGTGGTGGTTGACCAGGTCCGACTTCTTCCGGAAGGCCTTCGCACACACTCTGCACTTGTGGGGCTTCTCACCCACATAGGCCTTCTGATGGCCAAGGAGTGAGGAGCGCTTGGTGAAGTGCTTGCCACACACGTCGCAGGCAAAGGGCTTCTCACCGGTGTGGATGCGTTGATGGTCGATGAGGTTAGTGATGAGGGTGAAGGCCTTGCCGCAGTCGCCGCACTTGTAGGGCCGCTCCCCTGTGTGCGTGCGCCTGTGCCCAATGAGCTGCATGTTCTGCACGAAAGCCTTGCCACACTCAGCGCACTTGTAGGGCTTCTCACCCGTATGCGTGCGCCGGTGCACCGTGAGGTTGGCGCGCTGGCTGAAGGCCTTGCCACAGTCCCAGCATGAGAAGGGCTTCTCGCCTGTGTGGATGCGCTGGTGCACAACCAGGGTGGCGTTCCTCCGGAAGCACTTGCCACATTCGGCGCACAAGAAGGGCTTGTCTGCAGTGTGGATGCGCTGGTGTTGGGTCAGGTCAGCCCGCCGCTGGAAGGCCTCCCCGCACTCTTTGCACACAGAGGCCTTCTCTCCTCTGGGGGCCCACAGATGTTTCTCTGAATCAGAATTTGTTTTAAAATTGTTATATGCCTCCAGGTCGTGTTTCCAGGGTCCCTTGCCTTCCGGAATTCTCAGGTACCCCAGAAGTGACCCCGGCTCTTCCAGCAGACACTCTGAGGAGTTGTCTGGTCTCCCAGCTCCTTCCAAAGCAGCAGAGCTCCAGAGGCAGCCCCTCCCCAGTTCTTCCAACTCCAGAGCCAGGGACAGCCCTGCAGGGACAGCTCGCTCTACACCATCACTCTCACGCCTGGACTCCAAATCTGAAAGAAACAGAAGACACAGACGTCACCTGTGTCACCTGCTTCCAGAGCTGGGGGAGAAAGAAGTGCTCCAGTGGGTGGGCTAGGGGCTCGGGAACCAAAGAAAAGCCCCTCCTGGTGCTCCCTAAACCAACCAAACCAAACCAGTTGTCACTGAGTCAATTCCCACTCAGAGTAACCCCATGTGTTACAGAATAGAACTGCTTCATAGGGTTTTCGTGGCTGTCAACAGCACAAAACAAAAACAAACTTTATAGAAGGTCCCTAGGTGCCGCAAATGGTTTGCGCTCAACTGCTAACCTAAAAGTTGGCAGTTCAAACCCACCCAGTGATACTGTGGAAGAAAGGACTGGTGATCTGCTTCCATTCAGATTACAGCCTAGAAAATGCTATGGACCGGTTCTACCCTGTAACACATGGGGATGCTGTGAGTCAGAACTGACTTGACAGCAACTAACAACAACAATAATCTTTACAGGAGCAAATAGCCAGGCCTTTCTTCCACAGCGCCGCTGGACGGGTTTGAACCGCCAACCTTTAGTAGTTGAGTGCAAAATGTCTGCACCAGCTATGAACCTTAACGCATGCAAAGAGTGAACGAAATAAGAAAGGGAAGAGAGGCGCTGTAAGTTTGGAGGCTACTTGGTACACGAGTTTGCAGAAAAGACAAAAACACCCATTAGGAGCTGAGACCATGAACAGGTACCTGGGGGACAGGCTGAAAGAAAGTCAGTCATCCTGGGAAATTATGGGGGGCCAATGATTACCCGTTATAATTATTACCAATATATATACAAATTACATACATACCAATATATACCAATTAAGGTTACAATTAACAGTAACAGTTAATTTAACACTTAATGAGGTGCAGTGGTTAGCACTTGGCTGCTAACTGAAAGGTTGGTGGTTTGAACACACCAGCTGCTCCACGGGAGAAAATACCTGGAGATCTGCTCCTATGAAGATTATAGCCTTGGAGGAGAAAGAAGAAAACCAAAGACAGAAGGGAAAGATTAGTCCAAAGGACTAATGGACCACAACTACCTCAGCCTCCACCAGACTGAGTCCAGCACAACTAGATGGTACGTACCCGGCCACCACTACGACTGCTCTGACAGGGATTACAATAGAGGGTTCCAGACAGTGCTGGAGAAAAACGTAGAACAAAATTCTAATTCACAAAGAAAAAAAGACCAGACTTCCTAGTCTGACAGAGATTGCAGAACCCCGTGACTATGGCCCCCAGACACCCTTTTAACTCAGTACTAAAGCCACTCCTGAGGTTCTCCCTTTAGCCAAATATTAGACAGGCCCATAAAAGAAACAATAATACACGTAGCTCAATCACGCATACGAGACTAAATGGGCACACCAGCCTATGGGCAAGGACGAGAAGGCAGGAGGGGACAGGAAAGTTGGATGAATGGAAATGGGGAACCCAAGGTCGAGAAGCGGAACGTACTGACATGTCACAGGGTTGGCGACCAATGTCACAAAACAATATATGTATTAATTGTTTAATGAGAAACTAATTTGCTCTGTAAACCTTCATCTAAAGCATAATAAAAATAAAAAATAAAATAAAGATTACAGCCGTGGAAATTCTCTGGGGCAGTTCTACTGTGTACCCTGTCCTATAGGGTTGCTATGAGTCAGACTCGACTCAATGGCAACGGTGTACGGGAGGCATTTACTATGTGCTAGACCAGCGGTTCTCAAAAGGGGTGCTTTTGTCGCCTAGGAGACATTTGGCAAAGTCTGAAGGTCACTGGGTAGAACAAATGCTTTGTGCTCAACTACTAACTGAAAGGTTGGGGGTTCAAATCCACCCAGCAGCTGTGTAGGAGAAAGGCCTGGTGATCTGCTGCCATAAAGATTACAGCCAAGAAAACCCTATGGGGCACATTTCTACTCTGACACACATGGGGTTGCCACGAGTTGGAATCAACTCAATAGCAGCCAACAACAAACAGAGGCAGAGTACAGGGCAAGCCCTCCTCACTGTAGCAGCTAGGACCAGCAACACCCCCATCCTGCTTCCAGCCTCCCCTTCTTCCATAGTTACAGGGTTGTAGCTGCCATGCAGGCTTTCTGAATAAAGACTACATTTCCCAGCCAGGCCCTGTGGCTCACTGTGGTCATGTGACTCAATTCCAGCCAATGGGACATCTGCTGGAATGTGGCCCAGGTGGTGCACGCCATGTTGGATCACACCATATGGAGAAGTGCAACCAACACCCAAGGAATGGTGGAGGGACAGACTAGAAGGCTCCGGGGTCCTGACACTGTGGAGCCCTTGGAATAGTCTAGAGCATTTAGGCACGGACATCCAGTTGAGAAAGAAACAAACTATCTGGTTTAGAAAACTGACCTTGGGGAAAAAGATCCAGGGCTTGGCGTTGGGACCAGGAAGGAAGCCGTATCACAGGACATGGAAGGATGGCACTGCCTGGGTGAGCTGGATACTCCCATTGTATAAAACACAAGCCCTTCTCCAGGAAAGAGAAAAGAGAAACCTGTTGGATGTGGGGGGCCCAGGGGTTTAGAATGCTCCTGAAATAGGTGCCAAACTCACTCAAGACCTTCAGATGTTTTACAACCTGGGGAGGCTCTACAGGTGATGGTGAGTGATGCGGGAAGCCTCCACCTTACCCAGCGAGTTGAGGTTCTGGAAGTTCTCCAGCATCACGTCCTTGTACAGGTCCCTTTGAGCGGGGTCCAGCTGCTGCCATTCTTCCTGGGTAAAGTCCACGGCCACATCTCTAAAGGTCACCAACTCCTGCAACAGCAAAGATATCCTGCTTACCCAGGCCCGTGGGTGCAAGAAGCAGGGATGAGGCTGGGAGTTACAGGGAAGGAGGGGAAAAGGCACTGGCTTCAATAGGTCGAGTCTCTGGGTAGTATAAATGGTTAATGCACTGGGCTGCTAACTGAAA